GTTCTTGCCTAGCATGCATAAGGCCCTGGTTTTGATTCCTGGTACTGCTTAAACCAGGCACTCCTATAATCTCAGCACTTGGAATGTGGAGGCAGGAGGATAAGGAGTTCAAGGTCACCTTCTGACATATACTGGGTTCAATGCTAGCTAGCCTGGATTACATGAGACCCTTCTTCAGTGAAAGAAGAGGAGGAGGAAACAACAGATGTGGATGAGAAGGAAGTGGTGGGAGGCCTGAATAAGCAAGACTTTGCAGCTGGGCAGCTTAGGAAGAGAGAGGGTCAGAAAGGGGTGTGGAGGGATGAGTAATTGTCCAGAACGGAGACAGAAACAAAGCAGAGCTGTGAACATGCTCAGATCTCTAGATTATTTCCTGTGTATTTGCTCTGTTATCAACTCTCTAACACACTCTGAACACTTAGCTGGTCGATTCCTGCTTGGATCATTTTCTGCAGCTATTGCCAAGACAGCAGGGAGGTCCATTGAGAGGAGTGACAGGCCCTTCTTAAAGGAGAACGCCAGATACTTTCAAAGGCACTGGGTTCTGAGGTTTTGGTCCTGTTTTCTCTTTTGGCATCCTCATGGCAACAGAGAACACCCAGCTCGACCCTGCCTATGGCTCTGAGATTTAAGGGTTATAGAGCTGCTGGGTGGGCAGTTTTTGAAGAGGGCCTTTACTTTTTGTGTCCTTTTTCTTTCTTGGCCCTGCGAAACTAGTTAAATACAGGAAGTAAGACTGCATTATTCAGTTGCTCATGGGCTAAATTCCATGAGTTAGACAAGCTCTAAGACCTGATTATTTTGTTCTTGCCAACTTCAAATGCATATTAATATGCATCATCAAAAGATGTTTATCATCAACAGTTTATTTGAGAGACTGGTGTTGGGCTGCTTGAGAGCTCAGGCTGGGAGGTAAGGCATCAACTCAAGGCCAAGCACCATTCCACACAGGAGCTGCTTTCCTTTCAGTGTGAAGCCATTGCCAGGGGTGGGGGGTGGGGTGGGTTAGGGTGTGGGGGGGGGGACGGGACGGGACACAAATGGGGATGCCTTTTCTGCAAATGAAAGCTCTTTCAAACAGTTCTTTCATTACCAGTTGAATTCAGGCTACAAATGAGAGAGGCTGGCCAAGAATTCATAGGGAAATATAACCAAGGTAAATATGCATTTAATAGCTACAGCTTTGCCTGTATTGGAGAGCACATACTTTCTTGGTAATATAATTATCAATGACCGTGCTTTACTTTTTATAGAATGTAAGATTTGTACCTCTGCCGGTGTTTTGTCCTAGGCAATAGTCAAAGTAGAGGCAACTGACACCTGATTCATATGAGCTTCTAAGGAAGATGAGGGGGTGCTCTGAGCATCATTTTAGTCTGCTCAGGCTGCCATGGCACAATACTCTGGCTTGCCTATTGAGAAAACAGACCTTTATTTTCTTACAGTTCTAGAGGGTGGAACTCTGAGATCAGGTCCTGATGGGGTCTCGTCTTCACTCACAGGCAGCTGCCTTCCTTTGTGCCCTGACACAGTGTGCTTTATGAAACAGCAATCCCCCTTTCCTGTAAATCAAAGCACATTATAGGCAGGTATTGATTACCATAGGCTTCAAAGGCCAAGAGGCTAATCTCCAGATAGAGGAGTTACCAGTTAGCAGTACTGATGACCACTTTTGGCATAGCTGGTGTTTTGGGTTGATCAGCATCTTCTAAAGAACATGTTGAAGTCTTAACCTTTGGTATCTGAAAATGTGGTCTTATTTGGAATATATTTGCATACGTGAAGTAATTCAGCATAACTGGCTTTCTTAGAAGGAGAGAACATCAGGGGCTGGGGAGATGGCTAAGAGTACTTGCAGTGCAAAGCACAAGGACTTGAGTTTGATTCCTAGAACCCACGAGAAAGATTCAAGTCTGCCCTGCACTTGTAATATCAGTGTGGGGAGATGATGATAGGTAGATTCTTGGGGCTAACTTGTCCGTCAGCCTAGTCTCAAAAACAAAACAAACAAAAAAGTGGATGGTGCCTGAGGAATGATACCTAGGTTGATCCAGATCTAGACTCTACTACATGCATGTACACACATGTGCAAGTATGAACATCACACACTCTACATATTCATACACAGAGGGGGAGGAAGGAGGGAAGGAGAAAGAAGGAGAGGGAGAGAGAATCCAACAGAAAACAGATAAACACATACGCTTGATGAGAGTGATATGTACAGGCAAGGAACCCAAGAGCTGCCAACCGCTCCTGGAAGTGGGTAAAAGGCACAGAACAGATCTCCCCAGTCTTCAGAGAACAGACCTCCACCTACATCTTGATATTGGCCTCTAGGACTACTGAGTGGTGAAAGCATATAGACTAGGTCACTCCATTTGTGGTGATTTCCTGTGACCCATCCACTAGGAAGAAGGCATTTTGCTTAGGGGACGAGATAGGAAGCCTCTGGTGACTGCTTCTTCAGTTTCCTCCCTCTCTCTCGCTCTCTCAGAGGGAATTTATCATTGTAGTTCTGCAGCATCGGACTGCTATAGCCACGCTGAAAGTGAAGAGGACTGAGAGCCAAGGGCAGTGCTCAGGGCTGGCTGGGACAGGGTGTACAGGCTCCTCATGGAAGTGCCGGGCTGTCTAAGTTACAAAATGAGACAGCACCGTTTGCTCATTTCAGGGAGTCTAGTTATGCTTGTGTTTTGCTGGCTGCCTGCAATATCTCCCCTCCCCCCATTTCTTTCTGAATGTTTGTTTGGGACAGGGCCTAACTATGTAGCCCAGGATGGCCTTGAATGTTCCACCCTCTCTCTTCAGCCTCCCAAGTGAGGGAAAAACAGGAGACATAACCCTGGAACAAAAATATCTTCGATAATCTTCAGGACTAGTGCTGTCTAGAGGAAATTGCTAAAGTCAGAAGTATCTTTCTCTTATCAACATTCCCAGTAAGTCCTAGGCCATGGGAATGGGCCCAGGAAAGGCATATTCTTTGTTACTGACTAGGTCAAGTTTCTGTAACAGCTTCTTCCTGGTGAATTGAACAGGACAACATTTGGGATCTGGGGGTTGTTCTGACCTTGATAAATTTCCTCTCCCAGAAGTACACACATTCTTTATTCCCCTCTACCTAGTCACTCTCTCTGCCTACACTCCAAGGCTTTGGGAGAAGTCTACTTGATCCAAAAGTCATGGTCAATGGTTCCCTAAAGGCTTTCCGGGCACCTTGTGCATCCTGCATCTAGAATTTGTATTATAATTGCTGACCTCTGATGTTACCTCTCACGAGATTCTGGAACCAGATACCATGAACATTTTATTTACTGTGTGTATTAATTACTTTCTCTTGCTATGACAAAATACATGATAAGGGCAACATCAAGGAAGTCTTATTTTGCTCACAGTTTGAACATGACATCCTTACCATGGCCACAGAAGCGTGAGGCATCTGGTCAACCATGTCTGTAGTCAGGAAGCAAAGAGAGATGAATGCTAGTGCTCAGCTGGCCGTCTTCTTTTTATTCATCCTGGGATCCCAACCATATTTAAGACGAGTCTTCTCACCTCACATAACACAGTATAGAAGCTCCCTCACAGACACACCCAGAGGTTTGTTCCTAGGTGTTCTAGGTCCTGTCAAGTTGTCAATCAATATTAACTATCAATCAACTGTTAAAGCAAGATCAATATAATAAATCTACATCAAGTAAATGACACTAAAATACATGTCAATGCCACTAACCTATAATAGGGACTTTGTTGCTTTGGCCCAGGTTTCAAAAACAAACAGTCAGAGTTGGGAAGGGCATTGGTAACACACACAGAAGGGAAGACAGTCTTGTCTCTGGTTCTGGGTTCCATTTGGGATCGTCCATACTTTTAACCTTTGTTCTGCATCTCTCTTTATTTCTTCTGAATAATTTCTAGGTCTAGGATTTATTTGCTCCCTTGCATGTAGGAAAGAAAAAGATAATGAGTTACCTAATCCAATTCTCCTGTGGGAAAAAACACAGCGATTTAAATCCCAGTAAAGACCAAGTGAATTAGTATGTCTCTAGAAAGTTCTTCAGACATCACAGTCAAGAAGTTTAGAGGGTAAGGAGTTGGGTGCAATGGGACTTCCGGTGCCTCTAGAACACTGTAGGTAGGTGTTTTTCTTCTTTAGTCTCTGTTTCCACAGTGATGTTGGATAATCACCCTATCTTTGATATTAGAAAGTATTTCTTTGTAATAATGTTGGTATAGTATTGACTAAGGCCATTTACTCCTTAAGATTAGCTGCAATCTGTTGATTTGCTTCCAGGACAAATTATGCAATGCTTTATCAGATAGACAGTTAAAAGTATTTTTTTCCTATAGTGAAGGTTTATTCATTCAATATTCAAGTTGGCTTCTATCTGAGCACCAAATATGCTAAGCATGAGGCCCCATCCTATGAGAACCTATAGCCCAGTAAGTGTCAGGAATAAAATCGAGAGATTGTTGGGGTAGAGAATGAAGTGAATATTTGAAGTGAGAATTTAGAGTAGAGAAAGAATGACTCGAGAGATGGCTCAGCGATCAAGAGCACTTGTTGCTCTTTCAGGGGACCCAGGTCTGATTCCTAGTACCCACATCAGGAAGCTCACAGCTATCTCGAACTCCAGCTCCAGGCGATCCTAAGCCTCTGGCTTCCAAAAACAGCTGTACTCACATACACATACCAACGTGCATACATACATACAGACAGACAGACAGACAAACCCTAAAATTAAATCTTTAAAAAAATTGCAACTTGAAGAAAAAGAACAGAAAGAATTCAAGCCTCGTAAATAGGGTCATATTCACCTTGTGCCAGCTAAAAATAAACTCCAAATGCTTCAACTGGATGGTGCGTAGGCTAAAACGCCTCGCTGCCAGCAATAAGGATGGCTGACAAGAGGGCGGAGCGTGCACATCTTCGATTGGCTAACTATAGAGTGACGTCATACGATGGTGGCTCCTCTGGGCTCCCGGCGGCTCCTAGGGAGGAGCGGCGCCGGCGGCGAACCGGCTTCTGGGCACTAGGCTGCCAGGTGCAGACTGGGGCAGGCGGGGACCCAGCCCCTTGTGGCCGAGCATGGCGGGCTCGCTGCCTCCCTGCGTGGTTGACTGCGGCACCGGGTAAGAGCCGCGCCCCATCGCTCCCAGTCACGCTTCGCTAGGCATACCGAAGCCATTTCCCCCAGCGGAGTCAGACGGCAAGAGGAGCGTGGAGGGATGGTGCGCTCAGGGATGGAGCTTAGTCAGAGGGCAAGGGGAGTTTGAAGGATAGGGCTTAATCTGGGGGATGGGGAACTGAGGGTACGGGGCTCAATTCGAGGGCATAGAGAGCTGAGGAATGGGGTTCTGAGAAGATGGGGGGACTGAGGGGTTGGGGCTGTGGAGTTCCTGGGCAGGCTGCACCTCGGGGGGGGGGGGGATGCTGCTGCAGACGCTTTCGCTGCAGGCCTTACACCTGAGAGCTCACGGTGTGTCCGTGTGGCCCCCACCCCCTCTTGGTGCTTGTCACCCGTCCTCATCCTGCGCTGAGAGCGTGTCACCTTTCCCTGCTGATGAACCAACCACCTACTCGTGGAGATGTTTACACGTGCCCTGCCAACTTGACACCCTGTCCTCCTTCCCACTCTGCTCTTTTCCATTCTGAAATGGCACAGCCAAGCTCAGCTCCTGCATCAGTCTTTGCTCTTAAAACACACACACACACACACACACACACACACACACACACGATGCATTTAAGAAAGACTTCCATTTTGGAAAAAAATCAGTCTAAATCTGGGGATTTTCTTCTCCCGTTTTTTGGGGAGGGAGATAGTTCTTTTCCTCTTTGATAATGTTAATTTTTCAGAAAAGACCTTAGGAAATGTTTTGGGGCTGTCAGTGGCCCAGGTTTAGCTGCTTTTAGGAAGGCCGCTCTTTGGGAATACCTTCTGGCTTTGCTGACAAAGTACTTCATAAATATCTTGCAAATAAATTTGGCCTCTTAAAACGTTTTCTGACGGATGGTAGTCCTTTGTCACCAAATATGCTTTGGCATGTTCACCTTCTTTTTTGTAGAAAAATATACTTGGTTTGGTTTCCTTGACAACCCTGTGGGGGTGCCTTCTAATTTGCTCCAGTCCATCTCCCACTGATGTCTTTTTCTTTTGTTGCTCAGGGGCCAGCAGTGGTCACAGGCTGAACACACGTTTTTATTTGTGCCAATTTTTCTTTTGGAAATACACTTTATAGAGAAGTTTTGTGGCTATGTATTTGAAAAGTTGCATTCCCAAACACAAGCTCAAATCAGTGTTGCCATTACAGCCCTACTCCATTTGCTGACCCCCACACCTACCCCTGGGGCACAGTCTCATCCTGTATCTGACACTCTTCTTCAGCCTGGTAGTGTCAAGAATGAAGACAAATATGTAAAAGTTTCCCCTTTTAATGTCTGCATGTGAGATTTTTGTTTTTGTGTTGCCCAAACTGCTGAAATAGAAAGCACTGGGTAGACACTTCCCAAGTTTTTTTTTAGTGCTTTGTTTCATATAGTAAGCTGAGATCTCATTTATTGATCTTGCTATAAATATCTAAGATGTGCTCAGTGTTGACCTTTTGAAGTGAGTGATTGATGTTTCTTTCACCTTCAGTAGATCATCATGGCCCAAAGCTGTGCTGCAGGCTGTCACAGGCTTTGGACACGGTGACAAGGAAACCTGGGCCTTTCCTATGGGTGTTTTCTGCTGTAGAAGTCCCTGTGGTTATTGTGAGTCCTTAGTGCCCAGTGTGTGAGCAGAAGGAAGATTGCATAGCCTAAATTTACCAGCTTCCATGTATTAGTAATTCTTGTATTTCTTAGAGAGCTCAATCATTTTGGACTGAGTTTTGTCTGAGAATAGAACAAAATGTAAAATGCAGCTAAAGATAACAGGGATTGAGGAATAGAATAGACTTGGGAAATCGCAGTGGGTGCTACTGATGAAATGAACAGGGTTTTTGGTTTTGTGCTTTGGTGGTGGTGCATTTTGAGCCCAGGGACTTTGGTTAGTGATGTTTCTACCACTGAATGGCACCCTATGTCCCGGTCTTGTCTGTCTGTGTGTCCTTTGTCTATTTCTCTGTTTTTGTCTTTTTCTCTCTGTCTCTCCCCCTTTCGCTCTCTCTCTCTCTTAGTCTTCTCATTGTACAATCCAGGCTTGCCTGGAACTCCCTAGCCTTGACTGTACTTAGAGAAATCCTCCTGCCTCAGCCTCCTAAGTGTTAGGATTACAGGTGTGAGCCACCATGCTCATCTGGTTTATGTTTTATGGTAAATATGTTTCTTCTGGTGACCTCAAATCTGATAAACCCTGAGCCCCACTGAGTGTACACAAGTCTGTGAGATCCAAAACTGAAGTTTCAGCTGTTTAAGGGATGACTAGATTGCAGAGAAAACTCCAGTCACGCATCTCAACCAAATGTTTAAAATAGTTTGACAGAGTTAAACCAACTTTGAGCAAAATCCGGTGTGTACTCTTCTGGCTCCAGCAGCTTTTAACATTTGTCGTATCATTTTATATTCCTGTGTGTGTTGTTACTTTACTGAGATGTTTAAAAGAAGGTTGTAGGCACCATCTTCTTACATGTTTCAGTGTCTGCTTTCTGAGAGCAAGGACTTATGTAATCATGGACCAGTTACTGAAGTCAGAAAAATTATTTTTCTTCTCTGCAGCTGGACTTGTGTCTATCTTGGAGGTTAACCCTGCCTACCATTGTGCCATACTTTGCATTTGGTGGTCATCTTTTTATTTTATTATTTTGTATGCATTGATGTTTTGCCTGTGTATAGGTGTCCGGACCCCTGGAACTGGATTACAGACAGCCTTGAGCTGCCATGTGGGTGCTGGGAATTGAACCCTGGTCCTGTTGAAGAGCAGCCAGTGCTCTCAACCGCTAAGCCATTTCTCCAACCCCTCCCCAACCTTTTAAGGTGATGGGGTGAAAGTCCTGTTACGTAGCCCAGGCTGGGATTATAGGCATGTACTGCCACACCTGGTCACTTATGTCTCATGTTGTTTTGAATAGTTCCTTAGTCTTTTTTTTTTTTTTTTTTTTTTGTCTTTCAAGATATTGTCATTTTGATAGTCATTTATTTATTTATTTATTATTTATTTAATTTATTTTATATAACAAAGTCCATTTAAATGAAAACAAACATTTAGAGACAATATTTGGGAATTTGGGCATTGTTCTTTCCAAACTACATCCTGCTGGTAAGGGGTGCTGTCATGGGGGATTCGAAGAAGATTCAGAAATCCTGGCTGTAGATAGTCAGTCATTTATAATATCCCTCAGTTTTGTCTGTCTGGTGTTTCTGGTAGATAGAGGTTGTGTAGTTTTGTAAGGGCTGCTGTAGAATGTTGGCTAATACATTCCATCAAAAGACCTAGCAGCCTTCTACCTCATTCTTTACAAAGTGTTTTCATTAGTATATATTAATTATGCATGATTTGTTTTTATTATGATATATATGTACAAAATGTATTTCAGGGCTGAGGAGTTGGCTTAGCCATTAAAGGCTCACAATCAGAAAAACAAAGAGTTCAGCTTCTAGAATGTGTTTGAATCATATTCACCTCCCCCTTGCCCCCTCCCTTGCCCCCTTCATACTCCTTCCTCTAATCCCCTTCCTCTTTCTAATTAGCCCCAACCCCACTGTCATGCTTTTTGAATGGGGGCCAGTGAGTATCATGATGGCTATTTATAGAAGCATGGCACCTTACTAGTGGCTACACTACTAAAGAAAGAGCCCCCCCCATTAATTCTGTAGAAATCCCGAGAGAGGAGTGGGGCTCATGGGCCCCCTCCCTTCCATGACAAGGTTACTAGTCCACTTTTGTGTAGCTCTGGTGCAGGTAATCATAGGTACTGTGCGTTCAAGGGTGCCACAGCTGTGCCATGCCTGAAACAGCATTGCACCCACCACCACCTCCTCCAGTTCTTAGTGTTATTTCTACCACCTTTTCTGAAATGTTCCCTGAGCCTTGGAGGGGGAAATATAGATTTCCCACTTGTGGTTGTCACTCAGCAGTCATTCATTCTAAGTCTCTGTAGCCACTGCTGACCAATGTGGTGGGGGTGAGGTGCAGGGAATCTTCTCTGAGCAAAACAGACTGACGTGTGGACATGGGACAGAGCATGTGATGCCTTTAGCAATAGGGCCTTAGCTCTGGCCGGTAGCCACAGAGGTGGCAATCGTTTACATTGTTTAGGGGGCCTTCCTGACCAGCAGCTCATAGGGAGGTAGTGTGTGTGGTGACATCTTGTTTGTATGCTAAATAAAGCTTGCTTGAAGATCAGAGGGCGGAGCTAGCCACTAACCAACCATAGAGGTCTCCTTCTGCTTGTATGTCATGTGAGTTCTACTGCCCACCTCACCAAACAATCTTTTCTCCCTTCTCATGGGTCCCTTTCTAGTTTCCTGGGCTCTATACATGCTTCCACACATATGCATATATAAAAATAGAAGCTAGGACTAGCATTTTAGAGATCCTGTGGCATTTGTTATTCTGAACCTGGATTATCTCATTTGATATACTGTTTTTTAGTCCCATACATTTTAATGAGAATTTCATTCTTCTTTATGATTGAATGCAATGCCATTGTTTTAGGCACCACCGTTTCCTTGTCTATTCATTAACTAATGGTCATCTGGGCTGGTATGAACATGGCAGCAATACACAGATGTGTGAGAATCTATGTGGAAGGATTCAGAGTTCTTTGGATATAAATGAAGGGGTGGCATAGGTGGGTCATGGAATTTCTGTGTTTAGTTTTATAATACCTCCACACTGATTTTATAGTGGCTGCATTTTGCATCCCCACTATAATATCTAGGGCTCTTCTTTACTCACAGCCTTACTGGCATTTGTTACCATGTTTTCTCCTTAATAATCATCCTAATTGGGAGTGAGATGAAATCTCAAAGAAGTTTAAGAAGTTTTTAGACCTTTAAAATTTACGAATATGCATGTTTTGCCTGCATGTATGTATGTGTACCATATGTTTGAAGTGCCTGTGGAAGTCAGGTGGGGGCATTGGATCCCATGAAACTGGAGGTATGGATGTGTGTGGGCAGCATGTGGTTTCTGGGAACCAAACCC